ATATGCTAGAATTGAGTCACTGACAGCCTATGGCTTTATACAAAAAGCAAGCAATTTGATGCTAGGTGTCCAAAGTTGATTGGAGAGAAACTAAGGAAAAAAAAAATTAAATAAGAAAAGTATGTAGCTTGGTCATGTGGTGTGAAAGGAAGAGAGAGAACGTCATCGTCTACCAACTTCCATTGCACAACTAGACTATTTGATTATGATTCCATTAGTATTAATTAGGCTAATAACAAAAAAAACTTACATGTTGCAAATTATACGATGTAAAATAAATGAGATTTGGTTTAGGTTTCTGGGTAAGCAACTGTCACCTCCATTCAACTTAAATTTAGTTTTTTTTTTTTTTTTCCCTCAAGTTTGTTTCATGGAATGAATGTTTGATCCTTTGCCAAATAGTTATGAAGAAAAGTTAGAACTTTAATAGTAAACTTAATAGTTTTGAATTTTTTTATATTTTATTTTCAAGGCTTGAGAAGTAAAGACTGTTTCATAATTAAAAGTGTGAGTTGATGATTACATGAGCCCCTTATCATGAAGAATTTAAATAATGTGATGTCTCATGATTATGTGAATGTTTATTAATGTAGTTGTGAACCAAATAATGCAATCATGTCTCATGATTATGTGAATTTATAAATTTAATTGTGAACCGGAACCTGGATATCGGTTTCAAGTTTTTCTGTACTTTGGAATTTTTTATTTTTTTCACAATTCAACCACAGAGAAGTATAAGAGGTCTACTCCTAGCACAACCACTAAACACTATATTTCAGTGACATTTATCCTATTTTTTATTTCACATATGTATTGTTGAGGGCAATTAGATGATATTATGCGCCTGTTGGAAATTATATTATGATAATGTTGAATTGAGTAGTCCTGAATTCAGTTTTTGTGCAAATTATGTACTTATGGTAATTGATGTTTGCATCTATTTCATTGTCGTATTAATCCTAAAATGCATTTTGTAGGGAACCAAAAAGAGGAACATAATGTGTAAATATGCTTGGTTACTCAAATACAATTTTTTTTACTTGATTGCCCGAACATGACTTACAATTACAATTAACCAAATGTTGATTGGGCAGTCTATCCAGGTTCAGTTAGAATTAACTCCATAACTTTGCTGAACTTGCAGGAAAGGGAATTCATATACGACATGCGAGAGTAGATGGAGAAATTCTACGGTGAGCTGTCAAATCTACGAAAAGTAATTAAGAGTTGTGTAGACATGCAAATGGTAATGCAGCATTCCATGAAGCAGGAAGTTCATTCATGTTCGAACTCTCATTCATGTTTTTATGGTTCTTCATCAGATGTTTTTGTGTCAATTCTAGAGTCTAGACTCTACACACGATGGCACCTCAATACAGTAGGCTTGGGTATTAAATATAATTGTGAGAAAACGTCATATTGGAAGAGTTCATTGTGATTATAACTTCTTTCGTTTAATATAAAGTTATAAATCTATAGCCTTCAAATTCTGAAATAAGTGGAAAATGAATTTAAGGGTGGCAGTAGACTATTCAATACATACGGTACATATTATAGAATCCGGATCCTCGCGGATCCTCTTTGTAAGGATCTCGGGGATCTGTGAATCATATCCGTTCATCATACATCGTGCGGTCAAAAATCATTTTAAATATTTTATTTAAAATTAAATACAAATAGTACCTAACTTGATCGCACAATATATGATGAACGGGCATGATTTACGGATTCTCAAGATCCTCACCCAAAGGATCCAGAGACGATCCTGTTGGCATATTATATGCATTGTTTATGTTGTTGAATCAACATTACTGCAGAAGTGAAACCATAGTATGGTCGCATCTTTCTAACTTGTGTCATTTTTCTGTAGCTTTCTTGCCTTGGGATTTAGGACTTGACATCCGTGAAGCTCATGTCTTCTCGACGACCGATGGCTACTGTTTGGATGTATTTGTGGTGGATGGATGATCTATTGAGGTAGTTTTCTTTTTACGATATAACATATTTATTGTCATTCACTATGTCTTTTCTACCGTCAAAGTTTTGTATCTTGAAATTTTGCGTGTTATTATATTATCAAATGAGTAATGTCCTATACAAGAAACGTTGGACGACCCTTCTTAAAATCACTATTCTAAAAATCCCCGCCTAGCCCTGCCTAGGCCTCGTCTAGACGTCAAGCGGTTGGCCACCGTCCCGATTAATGCCTAGGCGTTTGAAAATTAAGAAAGAGCGCCTAGACCTATTCAAACGCCCGCCTAGACCGCCTAGACACCGTCTAGCCCACCCAGACCCGACTAGACTCCTGCCTAAGTTGTGACTCACTTAGACAGAAAATAGATAACTTTCATTTTGCATTTTATTTTTTCAATAAATTGTAAGGGGCTTGTTGAATACTTAAGAGAACGCACATTATATATTTGTTCCCCATGTTTTCATTATGTTCCAATAGTTCATAATATATATGTCATTCCATTTTGTAGTTTGTGATGAAATCATATATATTTTAAGTATAAACAGACACTTATTTACATGAAATATAAAAGATTTAATTAAATCCGCTTGGGTGCCCACCTAGACCCCGCCTAGCCGCCTAGGCACTAGGCCCTAACCCACCGCCCGACTAGCGTCTTTTAGAACCTTGCTTAAAATATATGCTGCTACTATATGCTTATTTTTGTTGGCTGTCGATTTTGCTTTACTGCAGGTTGTTTATGTACTTTCTTTTTGTATGCATGGATGAACGCGTTTTAGTCAGTGGTTATCTCTGATCTATAATATAGATTGCTGCTGTGATTACATGAGTTTTATGCTCATTTTTAACAATTAGGCATCAAAGTTAATCTCTTACTTGGAGTTTACATTTTTTGCACATCATGCCAAAAGGAAATAGGAATAACAAAATAAAACAGAAGATACAATATCATACTTCTGGCACTCCCCACGGCAGAGCGCAGGCTTTTTTGCCAGTTCAAAACTAATTGACTGAATTGTAAAAGAGAGTAAATTGGGATTGTATATGGTTTACTGGTTGCATAATGTTTTTGTAAGGAAGGGTGGTGTATAATGTGCACTCGAGTGGGAACGGCAGAGAGATGGCAACAATGTTCTTAGATCCTACATTTTACATGTTTTTCAAACGTTGTGGAACAAATGGGCTTTCTGCTGTTTGGTTTTGAATATTTATTATCGGTTTGTTGCAGTGAGTTCTCCATGCATTTCAATGCTTCTCGTATTAAGGTTCTTCAGGCTCATGATGTTGTGGTTAACTCCATGAAGGAGGTAGCATCCAGGAAGCTTCTGAATGTGAGCCAAGTAAAATGATAATTAGGTGCAATTTGTGATTAAAAAGTAGTATTAAGGACAAAGAATTGCGTGCCTCAACATGTAATGCTCGTCTATTTCGTATCAAGTCAACAATTTGATGCAGATGCAAGGCTTTGGATGCAGATGCAGGGCTTTTGATTAGGAAATTAGTATAATGGACAAAGAATTTAGATGCAGATGTAGATGCAGAGCTTTGGAGTTTGAGTGTTGTTTTTGGTAAATTGTTAATAAATAATTCAAAAGCTTGGAGCCAAATTCATTAATTGTTTGTCGATATATGTACTTTGCAATGGCAGTAGCAAGGTGCACTGGGTTCAGTTGCTTGTTTCGGCTCAGTTTTTTTCTTTCTTTTTTGTTCAGTTGTTTGGTTTGGCTCAAATGGTTCTATTAGTATAATTGTGATGGCTTGGGGATGCTGGAAAAAGAATAATCTTGGAGTGCAGGAAAAAGAATATCTAACTGTTTGCATTTTTGTGTTGCAGAAGCTCTGGTTTGGGCCCTTGTGTATGATTTTAACATTCTCAGTCGTACGACAATGAATTTCACTTTGTGTTCGTCATCTCAGAGCTCAGATACCCTTTGGTTGAGGGGTTGCTATATACAAACAAGAATATGCTAGAGGCTGAACACTAAATTACTCTAATTTCTATATGATTTCTGGATGCAAAATTTTTATATAAAATGCTTGACTTGGTGGTCTATTTATAGGCATTGACATGCCCCATTTTCAAAGATTGCGTCTACTTTCCAAAAGACAAAGGATCCGTCTACACAGAGGATGCGTCTGTTTCCAAGGCAGAAAGGATGTGACCATTGTTCAAACATACATAACGTTTTGGAAATCTATAGTCACACCTTTCCATGACCATTTTCATAATAAAATAAAATTAAAAGGTACAATTGCAGACTGCAACATATAGGCAGTTCATGACTAAACCACTTTTCCACTTTAATTTTCATTCACTTGAATATTTAATATTTTAAATATTAATAATACTAATATTTAAATTATTAAATTTCTAACAACTTGTAAATAAGTGCATATTAACACTTACAAAAAATTATACTTGTATGAAATTCATGAATAAGATAATAAAAGAATGATAAAATACAAAAAAAAGTATCTAAAAAATCTAAAATTTAAAAACACATTGAGCATATATGCCATATAACTTAAGACATTTTAAATGATTACATCTAATTTTTTAAAAATAAAAGTAATAATCCCACGTATTGGGTTGGATGGTTCATAATAAAGAGAAAATTTTGATGTCAATAAGGGTGGTTCATAGTAATATTTTGTAGAGATTATATTAATTTATGTTGAATTTAAAGAGAAATAAAGGTGTCAAATATGTGGACGTGGAAAGGGCACCCTAGGACGCATAAAGATGGGAACTCTGCACCAAAACTTAATGACAATGACATCTTCAACCTGACACCACATGCTTGGACAAGGATTGTCTGCCCTCTCGTGCCCTCTTGTTTTATGTGGTCACGGTTAAGCCACATCAACATTTTATATTATTTTTTTTATAGAGATAATAAGACAAAAATAAATAGTAATATAAAATGTTGACGTGGCTTAACTGTGACCACACAAACAGAAAGGCGCGGGAGGGAACCGGAAGTGGGAGGGCAGATAATCCTTGTCCCATTTTTTAGGAGAAAAATCAATATGCTAGAACTGAGTTACTAACAACCTATGGCTTTATACAAAAAGTAAGCAATTTGATGCTAGGTGTCCAAAGTTGATTGGAGAGAAACTAAGAAAAAAAAATTAAATAAGAAAAGTAGCTTGGTCACGTGGTGTGAAAGGAAGAGAGAGAATGTCATCGTATTCCTCTTTTCATCTTCGCCAAACCAAGAACCAGAAGAAACCCAAAAAGGCCAAAAAAAAAAAAAAATGCAGCTGATCTACATTGTAGTTTTGTATCTTGAAATTTTGCGTGTTATTATATTATCAAATGAGTAATGTCCTATACAAGAAACGTTGGATGACCCTTCTTAAAATATATGCTGCTACTATATGCTTATTTTTGTTGGCTGTCGATTTTGCTTTACTGCAAGTTGTTTATGTGCTTTCTTTTTGTATGCATGGATGAACGCGTTTTAGTCAGTGTTTATCTTTGATCTATGATATAGATTGCTGCTGTGATTACATGAGTTTTATGCTCATTTTTAACAATTAGGCATCAAAGTTGATCTCTCACTTGGAGTTCACATTTTTTGCACATCATGCGAAAAGGAAATAGAAATAACAAAATAAATCAGAAGATACAGCATCATACTTCTGGCACTCCCCACAGCAGAGCGCAGGCTTTTTTGCCAGTTCAAAACTAATTGACTGAATAGTAAAAGATAGTAAATTGGGACTGTATATGGTTTACTGGTTGCATAATGTTCTTGTAAGGAAGGGTGGTGTATAATGTGCACTCGAGTAGGAACGACAGAGAGATGGCAACAATGTTCTTAGATCCTACATTTTACATGTTTTTCAAACGTTGTGGAACAAATGGGCTTTCTGCTGTTTGGTTTTGAATATTTATTATCGGTTTGTTGCAGTGAGTTCTCCATGCATTTCAATGCTTCTCGTATTAAAGCTCTTCAGGCTCATGATGTTGTGGTTAACTCCATGAAGGAGGTAGCATCCAAGAAGCTTCTGAATGTGAGCCAAGTAAAATGATAATTAGTTGTCCTATGAGAAAAGCCAAAAGATAATTAGGTGCAATTTGTGATTAAAAAGTAGTATTAAGGACAAAGAATTGCGTGCCTCAACATGTGATGCTCGTCTATTTCCTATCAAGTCAACAATTTGATGCAGATGCAAGGCTTTCGATGCAGATGCAGGGCTTTTGATTAGGAAATTAGTATTATGGACAGAATTTAGATGCAGATGTAGATGCAGAGCTTTGGAGTTTGCGTGTTGTTTTTGGTAAATTGTTAATAAATAATTCGAAAGCTTGGAGCCAAATTCATTAATTGTTTGTCGATATAGGTACTTTGCAATGGCAGTAGCAAGGTGCACTGGGTTCAGTTGTTTGTTTCGGCTCAGTTTTTTTCTTTCTTTTTTGTTCAGTTGTTTGGTTTGGCTCAAATGGTTCTATTAGTATAATTCTGATGGCTTGGGGATGCTGGAAAAAGAATAATCTTGGAGTACAGGAAAAAGAATATCTAACTGTTTGCATTTTTGTGTTGCAGAAGCTCTGGTTTGGGCCCTTGTGTATGATTTTAACATTCTCAGTCGTACGACAATGAATTTCACTTTGTGTTCGTCATCTCAGAGCTCAGATACCCTTTGGTTGAGGGGTTGCCATATACAAACAAGAATATGCTAGAGGCTGAACCTTTTCTGAAGGTTGATAAGTTCAATAAGAAGGATAACACTCAAGTATCTAATCATGATGCTGGAAAGCTCGTGATGCCTAGCAATTTGATGCCTCGGCGCTTGAATGGATCATATGTGGGAAAGAATAACCTCAAGGAACCTGGGCGGAAGCTGGAATTTGTGAGGACATTGTTGATTGACAACTATGACAGCTACTTACAATATATACCAGGAGCTGTCTGTCATTAATGTTTGTTTTTTTTTTTGTTCAGTTGCTTGGTTTGGCTCAAATGGTACACTTTTGATGGAGGAGGCCGAGCGGATCACTAGCAGGGAGCATAGATTGAAAAAGGTTGCTATTATTTCGGGAGAAGGAACTCGTCGTTACTATAAGAAATTAGGCTACAAGCTTCAAGGGCCTTACATGGTGAAACATTTTCTAAACAAGTTGTAACTTCCATTGCATAACCAAGACTATTTGATTATGATTCCATTAGTATTTCCCAATTTTTGATGACGCTAATCAACACTCAGTTTCAACAAGAATTCGATTATGATTCCTCTTCAATTTAATTCCTTCTCAATTTAATTCCTCATCAATCCAATTCCTCATATTTTAAGGAAGAAAGAGGGGATGAACGGAACACAATTGAGAATGGAAGGAAGTTTCTAAAATGAGAAAATAGACAAAAGTAATAATAAAATATTACTAAATATTTATTAAATAATGTAAAATACTAATAAATATGAATTAAATAAGTCTTGATCCTGATACTACACAACAAAAGCACCTTTAAAATCTCCTATATAAAGGGCTACCAACTTCAAACGTTTCTCTCACTCTCTCACTCTCATACGCCTCTTCATTTCTCTTCATTCTCTGCTTATCTGTTTTGTGCTTTTAAATTTTTGACCATCTTTTTTGTTATAAAGTAGCGTTTCCAACCCTGAATTTCTAGTCTACTTTTTCTTGGCGTTTCATAGTACGTAATTTTTTTCTGCGATGAGCAAACTTCGACATCATAGTCGTTTTGCATTCTTTTGCCTCCTCTTCATACTCCCCACCTTAGTTTTCGGAGAGTGCACCTGTGAAAAAGGAGAAGGGGATGGGGACCGGAACAAAACCGAAGCTCTAAAGTACAAAATTGGGGCGATTGCATCCATCCTAGTCGCCGGTGCACTCGGTGTTGGTATCCCAATTCTTGGGAAGACCATTCCTGATTTACATCCCGATAGGAACATATTCTTCATCATCAAGGCCTTTGCAGCCGGGGTCATATTGGCCACTGGGTTCATCCACGTGCTTCCGGATGCTTTTGAGAGCTTGACGGACCCGGCTCTTAAGGAGAACCCGTGGGGGAAATTTCCCTTCACTGGGTTTGTGGCCATGATGGCTGCCATTGGGACTTTGATGGTGGATTCTTGTGCCACTTCTTATTACAGCAGGTCTCACCTCAAGAACAATATTGATGGAGACGAAGAGAGGGCCCAAGAGCATGAGGGTCACGATGTTCATACTCATACAACTCATGGCCATGCTCATGGCGCAATTGACACTTCACCCTCAACAGAACTTCTTAGGCACAGAGTAATTTCACAGGTAATCTTCTTTTTGAAATTTTTTTTTTTTTTTGGTGATTAGTGGTGAATTTTTTTTTTAAATTAGTTATTTAATTTTGATTTTTGTGGCAGGTTTTGGAGTTGGGGATTGTTGTGCATTCTGTGATTATAGGAATTTCGTTAGGTGCTTCTGAAAGTCCTAAAACAATAAAGCCTCTTTTAGTTGCATTGTCTTTCCATCAATTTTTTGAAGGCATGGGACTCGGTGGATGCATAACTCAGGTAATTTTTTGCCTACAACTATTGATGTCTATATGTCCGTACCCAAGTTGGTTAGAGCAAACAAACTCTGGATGTTGATTGGATGTTATTTTTGAATGTTCTTTGTAGGCAAAATTCAAGAATCGAGCTGTTGTAATCATGTCGTTGTTCTTCTCTCTTACAACTCCAGTTGGGATTGGCATCGGAATTGGAATATCAAAATTTTATGACGGAAGTAGCCAGACCGTACTCATCATGGAAGGCGTTTTTAACGCGGCATCTGCCGGTATCTTAATCTACATGTCCCTTGTTGATCTGCTAGCAGCTGATTTCATGAAACCAAAAATGCAGAGCAATGGAAAGCTTCAAGCTGGAGCTAACATATCTCTTCTTCTCGGAGCTGGTTGCATGTCTTTGCTGGCCAAATGGGCTTAAACTAGTTAGTCAATCAAAAATATTGGCCATAATTTTTAGTTTGCTTTTCCTTAAGTTTTCTTGCTTATTCTTTTCCTGAACTTTTGTGTTCTCTATCTCCAAATTTGCATCGAATTATTAATTCAAACAGTGGTTATTTCGTGTAAGAGAACTTCTTTGCAACTCAATGCAAGAGTGGTTATTAGCCATACAGTCAACTTTTAATCTGAACCGTTAATCTAGTCGATCCCTCTACCATGCATATATGCATCAATGTCAACATCCACCACTTCTTTTCCAATTTATACTTCGAAATTGTGATAGGTGGAAAATCTACGAAGGAAAATCCAACTAGTAAAAAACAGAAAAATAAATAAAATATTTTAAATACTCTTAAAGAGGAAATGACATGGAGGATTGGGATCAAGGCTCTAAAAAACGTTAGGCGCTAGTCGGGCGGATGGCTAGCGCGTTACGCCTAGACGGCTAGGCGGGGTCTAGGCGGGGGCCTAGGCGGCCTAGACGGATTTAGATAATTTTCTTTTATATCTTGTGTTGGAAAAGTTATGGAAAACTGCTATATATATTTTATTATATATTATTAAATAATACACAATAAAATCTCTACAAATGCAAGAAGAACAAGGAATGGAAGAACCTTAAGAGATCGAGGCTACAATTTGATTCTATAGCCTTAAGACAAGATTGCCCCTCAGTGGTGCCTCAAGGTTTGCGTTGGCAAATATCTCTCAGAATACAACGATATTTCTCTTCGCGGAAGTAGCACTCTAATCCACAAAGAACAGCAAACCAAAAGTGTTTAAAACTCTCTCTTTATTGAACACTAAATTACTCTAATTTCTATATGATTTCTGGATGCAAAATTTTTATATAAAATGCTTGACTTGGTGGTCTATTTATAATCATTGACATGCCCCATTTTCAAAGATTGCGTCTGCTTTCCAAAAGACAAAGGATTCGTTTACACAGAGGATGCGTCTGTTTCCAAGGCAGAAAGGATGTGACCTTTGCTCAAACATACATAACCTTTTGGAAATCTGCCAGTCACACCTTTCCATGACCATTTTCATAATAAAATAAAATTAAAAGGTACAATTGCAGACTGCAACATATAGGCAGTTCATGACTAAACCACTTTTCCACTTTAATTTTCATTCACTTGAATATTTAATATTTTAAATATTAATAATACTAATATTTAAATTATTAAATTTCTAGCATCTTGTAAATAAGTGCATATTAACACTTACAAAAAATTATACTTGTATGAAATTCATGGATAAGATAATAAAAGAATGATAAAATACAAAAAAAAGTATCTAAAAAATCCGAAAAAAAGTATCTAAAAAATCCAAAATTTAAAAACACATTAAGCATATATGCCATATAACTTAAGACATTTTAAATGATTATATCTAATTTTTTTTAAAATAAAAGTAATAATCCCATGTATTGGGTTGGATGGTTCATAATAAAGAGAAAATTCTGATGTCAATATAGGTGGTTCATAATAATTTTTTTTAGAGATTATATTAATTTATGTTGAATTTAAAGATAAATAAAGGTGTCAAATATGTGGACGTGGAAAGGGCACCCTAGGACGCATAAAGATGGCAACTCTACACCAAAACTTAATGACAATGACATCTTCAACCTAACACCACATGCTTGGACAAGGATTGTCTGCCCTCTCGTGCCCTCCTGTTTTGTGTGGTCACCGTTAAACCACATCAACATTTTATATTATTTTTTTATAGAGATAATAAGATAAAAATAAATAGTAATATAAAATGTTGACGTGGCTTAACCGTGACCACACAAACAGAAAGGCGCGGGAGGGAACCGGAAGTGGGAGGGCAGACAATCCTTGTCCCATTTTTTAGGAGAAAAATCAATATGCTAGAACTGAGTCACTGACAACCTATGGCTTTATACAAAAAGTAAGCAATTTGATGCTAGGTGTCCAAAGTTGATTGGAGAGAAACTAAGAAAAAAAAAATTAAATAAGAAAAGTAGCTTGGTCACGTGGTGTGAAAGGAAAAGAGAGAATGTCATCGTCTTCCTCTTTTCATCTTCGCCAAACCTAGAACCAGAAGAAACCCAGAAAGGCCAAAAAAAAAAAAAAATGCAGCTGATCTACATTGTTGAAAACATAATAAAACTGAAATTCCTAGACTGCCTAGGCCACTCAGTTGCCCGCCTAGGCTGCCCAAGGGCCGCCCATGCCGTCTGGGCGGCCGCCTCATCTCTGCTAGCAGCTGATTTCATGAAACCAAAAATGTAGAGCAATGGAAGGCTTCAAGCTGGAGCTAACATATCTTTTCTTCTCGGAGCTGGTTGCATGTCTTTGCTGGCCAAATGGGCTTAAACTAGTTAGTCAATAAAAAATATTGTCCATAATTTTTAGTTTGCTTTTCCTAAAGTTTTCTTGCTTATTCTTTTCCTGAACTTTTGTGTTCTCTATCTCCAAATTTGCATCGAATTATTAATTCAAACAGTGGTTATTTTGTGTGAGGGAACTTCTTTGCAACTCAATGCAAGAGTGGTTATTAGCTATACAGTCAACTTTTAATTTGAATCGTTAATCTAGTCGATCCATCTACCATGCATATATGCATCAATGTCAACATCCATATTGGAAGAAGATCGGGAAGAATATCTACTTTCTGTCAGTTACTCTAACCGGCATGGGGTGCTATCATTTACCCTAGCCAGTAGGTAGAATGGGTGTGTGCATGGGGTGTTGTCTAACAACTTGAAGTATGGCTGTCATTCTCACTAATTCAAGGGATTTGCTGATCTTGCTTTAGTTATGTGATTAGTAAATCAAGGAAAGAAGATTGTTTCTTGTTCCTTGTTTTTCTCTTCTTCCCACGCTCATATATATGAGCTATCTTTGTACTTTGTTTCATATAATAGAAAATACACCTTCAAAACTCAATATGGTATCAGAGCAGTGATCCTAATCGACCTGCTTCTGAGTAGTTTCTTGAGAGATCTGTGAGTTTTTTTTTCTGATTCTCTATCATGGCTGAAGAGAGTTCAGTTCATGGCGAAGAAGTTAGCTCGCATGCTACGCCATCTTCATTTCATTTAGATGTTGATGTCAACCCAAATCAACGTCTCAGTTCTGTCTTACTTAATGAGTTCAATTATCTTCCCTGGGAGAGAGCAGTCACTCTTGCCTTGGGAGGACGATCAAAACTTGTTTTTGTTAATGGTGTTATTCCAGTGCCT